TATGAAGCCCGTCTAACTTGACACATGTCCCTAGAAAAATGGCAAAAAAAAAAAAAAAAAGATGCCCAGAAGTAGCCGGTCGGACAAGACAATCTCAGCTGTCAGGAAGAGCACGCCACTTAGTGCAATGGAGATGTACGGACAGAAGGATGCGTTGTACCTTGTGTTAAGGCTATTATGAATATCCTTGTAAGCCTCTGCCGAGAGCGAAGGTCGGTCTGCCGAGAAAGAGGATTATGGGATGCATCATGAACATAAAACAAACAAACGAACTGCTTCCGTTTGTCTTTCTCCCTCACTTAAGACTTTTTTCTTTCTTTTTTTTATCTTTACCTATTGTGTTAAAAGTAGTTTGAACAAAATAAGATTACCAAGCGAACCGATGTATAATAATGCTGAAATATAGCTTAACCTGACCAACATAATATATATATATATATATATATATATATATATATATATATATATATATATATATAAAATTCATATACTCGTTTCCTTATACACGAACACAAGAATACACGTACACACACACACACACACAAACAAACACACACACACACATATATATATATATATATATATATATATATATATAATTATTTATTTAAAAATATGATTCCAACACGCTACATAAGAGTTCTCATGTTTCAAAACAAGAGCCGAAAACTTCAATATAATTATTTGAATTAAATTGAATTAAAGTACTAAGCTCTCTTATGTAACGTGTTGGAATCATATTTTTAAATAAATAATTATATTTATGCTCTACTTTTGTATCGAGCACTATTTTTTAAAAATAATAACAAAAATGCTAAAGAACTTTGGATTATTTACCTAACGAGTTCTTTCCTATTTTCTATATATTTTCACACACACACACACACACACATATATATATATATATATATATATATAAATATATATAATATTTATTAACAATTATAACAAAAACATTTTATAAACCGCTACATAAATGCAATCATGTTTCAGCACTATAAGCGCTTCTTCAGGAGGTTTCAGCACTATAAGCTCTTCTTCAGGAGGTGGTGGTTAACTAAAGAATAAACAATTATTTTAGGATTTAAAAGAAGGAAAGTGGGGAAAGGGAAAAAAATAAATTTCTAATATCTAGGGGTGACCTAGATTAACTAATCAAATGCCGGACCTATGATAATTTCGAAGTTAACTTTCGTATTGGATTCCTATTGACTGCACAAGTTATTTAAAATCAAACTTAGATGTTAATAAAATGATGTTTGTGAACATCTAAGTTTGATCAAACTTAAATGTTAACAAAATATATCGAGATAAATGTCAACAACTCGTAAAAACATCCTCCTCTATGTAAAAAAATGCTTTTCTGCTATATTTTGACCAAAAACTAATATTTGTTTCAAATCAGATTGATTAAATCTTAAATCAGCTAATCTTCTCAAATTTTAGAAAAGTATATTTTATTTTTGAAAGATTTTTGACAAAGATAATATAATAATGTGTTAACAGATTTGTAAATATGGCAATAAATGCCGATAATCATCCATTTTTAACGATTTCGAAAAAAATAATTCCAATCAATTTAAATTAGTCTGGAAATGCTGCAAAGTATTTTTACTTGTTAAAAATATTAAATTTAATCTATTAGGTTGGAATTAATTTCTGGTCAAAATTTAAATTTAAATTGTTCAATATCTTCTGAACGTTTTCAGCTTTCATAAGACTTTATCAAAGAGGTTTTTTTTAATAGAGTTGTATCTATGCATTGTGTTTTCTTTAATAACTTTCGAATGTCGCTTCTTCATGCATCGGTAGGTGTCATGACGGTTTTCTTTAGCATTGCGACTTCACCCGTCACTTTACGGTAGCGTCTCATTTTAGCAGTTGAGAAATATATCCAGTATATTTGTAAATTGAATTCAATTTTATTGATGTTGGATTTTGAAGTTCTATGGTTAAGGCTTCTAGTATTTGTAATCGTTTTTACTGTTTATTTTGTATATCACTTTTGAGTGAAGATTTGTCTGATTTCTCGTGTTGTGGTTTTATTATCATTTTTCTCTTAAATTTATTACTGGATATTTTTATCTGATTTGCATCCTCTTGTAGTTCTAACATTTTCTACTTTCACTTTCACTTTCACTTTCACTTCTTGCACAAATTTTCTTTCTCATCCTGTTTTTGCTACTTTCTGCATCTTTCTCTTCATTCTTCTTTCTCCTTTTTCTCTTCCCTTTTCTTTTCTCTCTCTTCTTTCTCCTTTTTCGTTTTCTCTCTGCTTTTGTCATTCCTTTCTTTTTCTTTGTCTTCTTTCTGTTTTATCTTCTTTATCGCTTCTTTCTACTTCTTTTCTTTTTTCATTATTTCTTCTTTTTCCTCTTTACCCATTAATCCCAGGAATCAGATGATGTCCATTGACTGGTTAATATTATAACACAAAATGTTAATCTTCTCGATCAAACTCAATGATCGTCTCATCTCCTTTGTTCAATATTTTCAAATATATTTTACTCCGGTAAAAATAGGAACAAAAGACACGCACCTGCGCTTCACGTCTATTTTTTTCCTTTATCAGAAAATTGTTCATTTACTGATTAAATATCAATATTTGCGTTTATTTTATGCATTCATTATTCATTTTTTTAATCATTTCCCCCAAGCAAGGCAATAAAGACTCTAAGACGCAAGGGTGTGGGAATATGAGAAAAGAAAAAAAGAAACAATTGTGAGGCAATATCAGAAAAGGAAAAAACACTTTTACGGTCAGAAAATAATAAATGAACAGGAATTTAAAAAAAAAAACAGTAGATAACGATTGACATTGCATTTAGATTTTTCAAGATCAAATTTAACTGGAAAGAACGAAGTTGGAAGAGAGTTCCACAAACGAGAAGTGCAAGAAAAGAAACTATTAGCATAGAACTTGCGGTTGCACCTAGCCAATTTAACAGTAAAAGGATGAGACCTAGCTGCCAATCTAGTACTGCGCTTAAATTCATAAAGTCTAGATACCAAAAAGGAAAGCTCATCAGAACAATAACGATGAAAATATTTATAGAAAAGGCACAGGGGAGCTACGTTACGGCGGTGGGAAAGAGACTGAAACCGAGATACCATGTCAGAACCTATAACATTGCAGATTCTTCTTCGGATTTTATTTTATTTTATTCTACATCTTAAGAATTGTAAAAGACTGGGCTGACAACCATATCACGTTTTTATCAGCGCAGTTAAAGAACGTCAAGCCTGGTCAGAAACTAGATGGGTGACCGCTTGGGAATACCAGGTGTTGTAAGCTTAGGTGTGCGGGTGGTGTAATAAAAAACGGCTCAAATTGGAAATCACATAGCCGAATTCCATTCCAGACGGGTTCTTTATATTCATTTATGTGAAAATACCATTGGGAAAGGCATGAATCCACCACCTCTCCCCCCAACAATGGGTTCAATAGTATCACTAAATCATTATTATCTCCGAAAAGATTTCTTACAGTTTAAAAATATATTCTGGCTTTAAATAACCATCAAAAGGTTGATAATCAATTATTGTAAGATATATGCTGTGTATTACGGTGAGTCATAAATAATGTTTGTTTTTTATTTATCAACTTTTTTCTTCAAAAAATAAAATAAAATTACATTTTATTCAATTATATATTCACCGTTAATTGCCACTTATTGCAGATTTTAAATATGTTTCGCTGGTTTTGATTTTTTAAATCAATTCATCGAAAGCAAGGTGATAATGCCACGAAGACGCAAGTTGCTACCGGGATTGAAAGAGAATGAGAAGATTTTAGAAGGAAACGTAAACCTAATCCTCAGTAGGAAACAAGGGATACACTCCTACTCCTGTTCAAAAGACCGAGGAGGCACGGTATGTAGGTCGTCTCCGTTGCAGAATGGTGACATAGCTAGCGGGAGTGTCCGTGTAGAAAAATGAATCTGAAACCTTGCTCTACCCAGCACGACTCTTCTACTCCCAGTATTTCTTGTAACCTATGGGAAGATAACGCATTACTTCTGGAGCACCCCATGTTGAGAATCACTTTTTGAATTTTTGAATGCTAAACCCTTTTCATTGGTCTTTATATATATATATATATATATATATATATATATATATATATATATATATATATAAGGCAGTGTGTGTGTGTGTAACGAATGCACGGCCGCAATTTTCGATGGATTTGCACCAAAGTTTACATGCACATGCTCCAAGTTAGCGGGAAGGCCAAGACCGACTTTGCATTTCCCAACTCCCATTGATAGTGGAAATAATCAATTTTTTCATGCTTCTACGGCAGCTTTCATGTAGTTTGCGGCCATTTTCTACTGGCCAGAGTGAGAGCCTGTAGCTGGCTGCCACGAATAGGCAGGGAGATTCTATTCGCCAGCGTTAGAGCCAACAGCTGACTGACACGAATGTTAACTAGCATGCTAGCATGCAAAAAAATCGATAGCTGCATTCGTCACAAGTGGGAAAAATTTAAATCTGCATGGCACTTTACTCCAATTGGCTCATTCTTGCTTAAACTCAACGTTGATTCTGATTCCGCAGAACTGGGTTTGGGTGTGAAAAAAGTATTTGTTGTTAACATTCTTTTTTCATTCGGTTTTTCCAGTTACGAATCCTTTTTTTAAAGCTGATCGTTTTGTGTTCATTTTGTTTAGTTCTTTTTTTGTAAGAGATTTAATGTTTAGTATAGAGCTTAGAAAAAATTCGCAGTGTGAGATAGGCAAGAAGTAAGGCATGTAGCAACATCAGCACAGCAAAGGGCACTCCTTTAAAGGCAAGGAAGGGCAAAAATATTTTAAGTCAAGTGATAGCGATTGCTGTATGAGTCGTACGATTTTTAAATCAAGCACGGGCAACGCCAGGCCATGCTGCTAGTTTATATATATGTATGTATACGAATGAATTCCTTTCGCCTTCTCCAGGGCGACAACCAATAAACGATATGAAGGAGTTAAAGATTATGCTTGAAATACATCTTCATTATGAAATACCTCTCTCACTCCATTGCAGTAGCCCACTCTTTTACAGCTCTCACTCTCACTCATTCAACCCCTCTCACTCATTCTCTCCTACTCACTCTTTTTATAACTCTTATTCACTCTCTCACAACCTTCTCTTTTAGTTCGAATAAGAAAGTTGTCAGAGTAAGAATGAGTGAGAGAGATTGAGTAAAAAGAGTGAGTTAGAATCATTCACTCACTCCATTGCAGTATCCCACTCTCTCACAGCTCTTACACTTTCACTCACTCACCCTCTCTCACTCATCCTCTCCCACTCTTTCTATTACTCTGACTTTCTCTCTCTCTCTCTCTCTCTCTCTCTCCCACATGTCTTTCTCTTATTCTTACCCGCGCTATTTCACTCGCTCTCTCTCACTCACTCCATGACTCTATTCCACTCTTTCATAATCTCTCTCTCCCTCTCTCTCTCTCTCACTCACTCTGTTTTACTCCCTCTTACTATCACTCGCGCTATTTCACACATTCTCGCTATTTCTTTCATTCACTCACTCTTTCACTTAATCACACTATTCCACTTCCTCTCACTCATTCATTCTCTCTCACTTTCTCACTTATTCACACTCTTTCTCACAACTCTCTCCCTTGCTCTCACTCGCGCTCTTTCACTCATTCTCACTCACTATATTTCACGCTTGCTCGCTGACTCTCTCCCTCCATCACACTATTTCACTCCCTCGCAATCTCTCTCACTCTCTCTCTCTCTTATTCTCACTTACTCACACAGACAGCCACACCCTTCACTCACTCTCTCTCTCTCTCTCTCTTTATCACTCTCTTTTTTCAAACTGCTCATCTCTATCTCAATTTCTCTGTAAAAAAACATCTTCCATATTCGCGTCTTCTATTACAGTTTATCTGTTCCTTAAATTTTCCGGCGCAAAAAAAAATTCCTTAAGAGACTCGTTTTTCCCGCACTTCTCAGTATTGTCTTTCCAATTTGAGGCTAAAGGAAAACTGTATTTTAATTGAATACCTAAAGTAAAGCCTGGAAAAGCGAATCTTACAATGCCGCTTTTCTTCGCATGCATCGAAACAACAGCTGTCGGTGTCACGTTTTCACAGCTGTCAGTACAATCTCCTACGCACATCTCGTGGACCATGCGAGACCAAAGGCTCACACAACACAGAGAACAGTAAGGATTATGAACAATTCCAGAAAAGGGAAAACGTAGAGAGCCCTCACTTTTCCCAAACCAACACACCGTAAAAGAAAGCTGTTAACTGAGGACCTTCTATTATTTAAAATAGATAAGTACATAAATAATTAATCTAATTAAAATAATATAAAAAATAATAATTACATTAATAAATATATATAAACAATATTATTATTAGTGAATACTTGTATATGAGTAAGCGCTCCGTTTATATATGAGGCACGGGCAGCGGCTCGGATTGAGAAATCAGAGAGCCGAGTTCGAATTCCACTCGAGTCCATTACATTCATTTACGAGCTATTACCTTTGGGAAAGGTATGAATCCTCTTTTTCTCCCCATCTTCCGCCTAGCTATGGTAAAATAGCAAGACAAACTGGGTTCTATAACCTTGGGTGGCAACCGATCTAGGAGAAGGTAACTCTGAATTCAAAACCGGCCTGGAGAGGGATAATCTACGTCAGCTTATCTTGCCCCCAAAACAGCACTTTTATCTACATATACATATGTGGTGCCCCTAATGGGTCACAGGATTCGCGATCATGCGATCCGTTTATATATTAAAGTGTATATTGTTTTATATTCACCAACCGGCGTGAAATTTCGAGAAACCTTATTACAGAAAAAAAGTGCGTTCTTTGGCAGGAATCGAACCTGTAACTCTTTGGGTAAAGGTGAATATAAATAAATATATTGTTAAATATATACTCAAATACGACTATCCACTAATAATGATATTTAAAGTGCTAAAAATCTATAAGATGAATAAATCCATTCTAATATATAAAACTAGCAGCATGGCCAGGTGTTGCTCGACTTCGATTCAAAAATCGTTCGACTCATACAGCAATCGCTATCACTTGACTTAAAATATTTTTGCCCTTCCTTGCCTTTAAAGGAGTGACCTTTGCCGTGCTGATGTTGCTACGTGCCTTACTTCTTGCCTATCTCACACTGCCAAATTTTTCTAAGCTCTATACTAAACATTAAATCTGTTACGAAAAAAGAACTAAACAAAATGAACACAAAACGATCAGCTTTAAAAAAAAAGGACTCGTAACTGGAAAAACTGAATGAAAAAAGAATGTTAACAACAAATACTTTTTCACACTCAACCCAGTTCTGCGGAATCAGAATCGACGTTGAGTTTAAGCAAGCGAATGAGCCAATTGGAGTAAAGTGCCATGCAGATTTAAATTTTTCCCACTTGTGACGAATGCAGCTATCGATTATTTTGCATGCTAGCATGCTAGTTAACATTCGTGTCAGTCAGCTGTTGGCTCTCACGCTGGCCAATAGAATCTCCCTGCCTATTCGTGGCAGCCAGCTACAGGCTCTCACTCTGGTCAGTAGAAAATGGCCGCAAACTACATGAAAACTGCCGTAGAAGCATGAAAAACTCGATTATTTCTACTATTGATGAGAGTTGGGAAATGTAAAGCCGGTCTTGGCCTTCCCGCTAACTTGGAGCATGTGCATGTAAATTTTGGTGCAAATCTGTCAAAAATTGCGGCCGTGCATTCGTTACACACACACACACACACATCCTGCTTTTTATAGATAGAGATAAAAATGCAACATTTACTAACTTCTGATATTAAATTACTTCATTTAAAGTTTACCTTTATTTAGACAGTTGGTTTCATAAATATTTTAGACCGTTCTCAAATTTAAAATTTTGAAAATTTTTGAAAATGTTTTTTTCTCTGCTTTATTTCTGTTCATAAATACGTGTTGCAAAATAAAATCCTTACTTTGAAAAAATCTCTCAGGAGAAGAAACGCGTTGTTTAAAACTAAAATATTTATTTTGTCTTTATTCACACACACAAATACACACACACATATACATATATATGGTTGCTGTCGACTCGCAAAGCGAGTATGGCCATCTCTGATATGTCCAGTCCTTCAATTAAACTCAACTCCACAAAACTACATTCATGGATTGTTTGAATGACAGAGGCCCATAAAGCCAGCTATAAAATTAAATTAAATAAATTATTAAACTGCGAAGTAAGTTTTTTGCCAACGTATTTTTCCAAACAAATCAGTTTATTCAAATTTCATCGATTGGATTGCTAAATTGAACGAAACGTAGAGTTTGTAAATCTCGACAAAAATGTTCGCCATAATTTCAACAATACGAAATAGTGCGAGGATTTTAACACGCTGATATAAAAAACAAAAAAAAAACAAAAATATATATATATATAGTTAAATTCCCAGATGAATTCTGTGGACAAGACAGATTGGTATCAAATGACAATTGGAAAAAAATCAACGCGCTTCGTCTTCCGACTTTTTCAAGGCAAAAATGATATCGAAATTAACCATTAACCAGAAAAAAGGCTTAGACACAAGCGTCTATCTTTTTAATTTTGAATTATAATGTAACTATAACAACAAAAACATAAAAAAAACAAAAAAAAACAGTCTTTGCCGCCAAAAAGAAAACAAAATGACTTACTTAACTAAGGGTTCAAAAACCAATAACTTTTCATCCTCACCGATCGACGCTTTCTCACTGCGGCTCCTTGATTTGAACGCCTCTTGGGACTTATGTTCACCCTTGACCTCAAGTAAAATATATACGACACATTTCTATAGATCCTGGGAAAAAAAATGTCCGGCTACTTCTACCATTCCAGAAAGTACCTGACTCCTCCTGCCATGATCTATCTTTGGTAAACTTAGTTCAGACGAAAACATCTCCCATCCTACATCCTCTTTCCCCATAGTTGCAAGCCTATCGTTATTCTATCGTTACTTTCATGGCGAATATTCAGACGAGCACCGTTCTTTAGTACCACCAGCTGCGACTTTTGTTAAATCGCCCTCATTCCTTACATATCTCATTAGTAAGAAGGACGTTCCGCCCAGAAAAATTCTTCCTAAGAACAGTTACTTTACGGAACAGACCTGAAAACTACATTCTTAATCTATTGTCAATGGTTATCTAGCCGTTTTTCTTATGTTCATATTACACACCTCATTCAATTAAGCTCTAACTTTAATGGCTCTTGAGCCTTGTGAACTTTAGTTAAAAAATATCTAAAACAGAAATAAATATTAAAAAATGAAGAAGAGAAGATATGTCATTATATAATATAAAATTTTTTTTTTTTTTAAATTAATTGATGAATATATCTACTCTGAGTGAGAGGAAATCATTTCAGGAGACTTGATAGTAAACGCCAGTAAGTTTCCTGAAAGCTGGATTTAATTTTATGAATCTCAGAGTAGAAACATTAAAAATTAAGCGCATATATTTATTTAATTTGTTTTATTAAGGCTCTATTTCTTGAAATCGAGGAATATATATATATGTGTGTGTGTGTGTGTGTGTGTGTGTGTGTGTGTGTGTGTGTGTGTGTGTGTGTGTGTGTGTGTGTGAGAATCTGACGGAATGATAAATATATTAGACAATATGGACATTTTCAAAGCGTATATATATATATATATATATATATATATATATATATATATATATATATATATATATATAGTTAAATTCCCAGATGAATTCTGTGGACAAGACAGATTGGTATCAAATGACAATTGGAAAAAAATCAACGCGTTTCGTCTTCCGTCTTTTCAAAGGCAAAAAATGATATCGAAATTAACCATTAACCAGAAAAAGGCTTGAACACAAGTGTCTTTTTAATTTTGAATTATAATGTAACTATAACAACAAAAACATTTCGATTTCATTTTTTGCCTGGAAAAGTCGGAAGTCGAAACGCGTCGGCAAAAATGTATGATTTTTTTCCAATTGTCATTTGATACCATATATATATATATATATATATATATATATATATATATATATATAGTCGACTCTCCCGTCGAATATGATGTATGAGGGTCAAGCAGATCAGTTCCCAGGAAACCGACAGCCAGACACCGGCACATGAGATTTGATTACAGTGGTGAAGGTTTCGTGCAGGACCATCCACACTTTTTGAAGGGACGAATACAGAGACCTGGTGCACCGAATGCCACAAGGTTCCCAAAAGACCCGCCGCAGGTTTTGAATTCAGAGTTGTCCTTCTCCTAGACCAGTTGCCATCCAAGGCGATAGAACCCAGTCTGTCCTGCTATTTACCCATATATAACGGTTTGAAAAATGTCCATACCGTCTAATATTGAAACTTCTTCCCTTTAAGACAAATACTTTCCACCCTCTTCTGCCTTTCGCCTGACAGAAAGATTGAAATCGATAAATTCTGTATTAAATTTTCGACTGGTGTTGTTTTTTTGTTGTTGTTTTTTGTTGTTGTTGTTTTTTGTTGTTGTTTTTTTTTTTTTTTGTTGTTGTTGTTTAACTTTCACAGTTAAATTTCTATCTCTGACACGAACTCAGTCCACACCGGGATTGATAAGACAGACGACCTATATTTTCGTTTGCCGAAATACACTATTCCCCATATGAGATGATTTCGGATTTTATTGTTTATTAATTATATATATATATATATATATATAGTTTTGCTGCAATTTTATTTTTTGTTAGGATACAGCTGTAATTGTTACAAGAGGCACGGTTTTTAAGTCCTGCCTTTTAGTGTCATTTTAAATTTAGATGGATGTAAACTCACAGACAACCAGAAGGAATATTTCAAATTAGGATCAAACTGGCACGTGCAACCGAAATTTGA